GTGCCGCCAGGCGCGGCACCGCGCAGGAGAGCGAAGGCTGCCGCAGGAGGAGGAGCCGGAGCACGCCGCAGCAGGCCTGCTTCTGTCCCGTTAGGAAACAGCCGCGGCAACAGGCGTTACAAAAGCGCGAGGGAGTTGGAACGGCCTGCGCCCAAGTCTGATTCTGAAAGAAGGTAAAAACATCTTCCTCCGGGAAAGACTGCTACTACTTTTTAGCAGTGTTATTGCTGCGGCTTATGCCACGGCACAGATCTCTTACTCCCCCTAAAAATCAGTGCATTTAAGCATGTAAGGCACACTTCCATCATTAAGCATACACTGTATAAAAATCACTTCTCAGACAGACACAGGTTAACAAAGGCAATGATTGATAGCTTCCTGTAGATAAATGTATTGCCAAGAAATGCCATCTCCAGTAATTTTTGTCCCTGTCTCGCGAGCTTCTAACGTGAAACCTTTTGAAATAAAGCATACAGCACCAGTGACCGAAGCTTTGGGCTCAAGCAGAACAAAATGCCAAAGGACGTTTGGATCATATCTGCCAATGCAGAAAGAAGCTGTAGGCTAGGGCATGAACAATTACCTTTTGAGACTCATTTCACTGTATGTCACCAGGCACAATTTTATGATTAAAAAACCCCAAACCTTCAGAAAACAACAGTCCAGAAAAGAGATGCAGTCAAAAAATCCTGGAAGCTCCCTGACCGTGCTGACATCAAGACATACCAAATGAAGCGTTTAGGCCTTCATGATTTCCCCCCAACTGCTTAGTCATGACAGATTCTATGAGGTAAATCACTGTAGTCATGAAGACAGTATAAAGGCTCACATATAAAGGCTTAAAATTCAATTTTAAACCTAAGCCCTTCGCACTTTGAGCTAAATTGAAATTCTGTACCGGTAGGGTGTTCCAATCCCGATGGACAGAACACATCTTTCTGAAGTGCGGCATTCCTGGTGAGTTTCCGAAGACGTTTCTTGCAGCCATCCTTACCTGAATGAAATATGGATATTAGAAGAGGCCATAAGGGTGACAAAGCAATACAAATGGCAAGTGCAACGAATTCTTATGCTGCAGGCCCAGCTACTGAATAAGTCACACATACTGTGTATTTCAGAACAGTAGAAGATCCTTCAGTTTATGAAGCATCGGAAACATTACAAATATACACAAGGACCTCTAAAGAATTCAGCAGTAGACTCCTTCCTATTCTCTACCTGTTCTCTTACCTACTCCTGTCCACACAGTCCACTGAAATTAAGTAACTGTCTTGCTTGTATGAATGTTAATAAACAGAAATAAAACTCATCTGAAAACTTTAGATGGGCAAGAAAACCCTATAGCGAACCTGTGGCGATTTCTGAAGCAGAAAGCAATATATTGGTCTTGTGTAATTGTTAGGTAGTTATGGCAATGGCTTACTATGACTTACCATGATACGCTGACAATGTTTGTACCCAAACTTTGTATCTCTTAGCACATGGCTCAGCTACAGTCCAGCCACTTCTTCTTGATGTCCTTTGGCAGAATCCCAGACACAGGTAGGACTAGTGTCTCCTGATATAAAAATCAAGATGTGGAAGCTCTACACATACTGACTCAGGAAGAAGCACTCCTGAAATGTAGGTAATAGCCACAATAATATAAAGGTCTCAAATTATTCCATTTATTATTCATCCTCATGAAATACCTGTGCTAAGAGTCTGGCTGTATTATCCCCAAATTTAATTAAAAATTGCTGACTGCTACATAATGAAAAGTGGTCACATGGTTTGTGATATTGTCCTGGTTTCGGCAGGGATAGAGTTAATTTCCTTCCTAGTAGCTGGTACAGTGCTGTGTTTTGGATTTAGGTTGAGAACAATGTTGATAACACACCGATGTTTTAGTTGTTGCTAGGTAATGCTTACACTAGCCAAGGACTTTTCA